TCGAGACAGGGTTTCTCTGTGTAGTTTTGGAGCCTGTCCTGGATCTCACTCTGTAGACCAGGCTGGCCTCGAACTCACAGAGATCTGCCTGGCTCTGCCTCCCACGTGCTGGGATTAAAGGCATGTGCCACCACCACCCAGCCTGTTGTCTGTTTCTTTTTTGTTTTGTTTTGTTTTTTCGAGACAGGGTTTCTCTGTGTAGTTTTGGAGCCTGTCCTGGATCTCACTCTGTAGACCAGGCTGGCCTCGAACTCACAGAGATCCGCCTGCCTCTGCCTCCCGAGTGCTGGGATTAAAGGCGTGCGCCACCACCGCCCGGCAGTGTTGTCTGTTTCTTGATGCTGTCCTTTTTCTCCTGTTCCTGTCTCCTAGGCTTTTATACTTTGTACAGCTGCAGGGTTCCTATCACGGCCTTCTTGTTGTTAGTGTTTCTCTTATAAAACCGTTTTCTCTGTAAAAATAATCTACAAATGCTGTTTGCTTATTTATTTTATTTATTATTGTTGTGTGTATGATGGGAGGAACTCATGCCATGACACACGTGTGGAGGTCAGAGGACAGCTTTGTGAGGTCCGTTCTCCGCTTCTACCTAAATAGGTTCCAGGGAGCAAACTCATCATCAGGTTTATGTGGCCAGCACTTTTCACTGCTGAGCCATTTTATCGGCCATAGCAATGCTATGTGTACGGGGCCTAAGTTAAAAAATTCCTCTGATATTCAAGACCCTTCCATAGATCTTCAATTGTACTTTTCCATATCTACCTTGATTGTATTCTTGTTGTTATCACCCAGATTTCCTTCTTCCATTTGTCTATAGTCTTTCCTTCCTTTAAGGCCTAGCTTCATTCTTACTTTCTCCAGGAAACTTTTGACGTTTTTGGTCCTAACTAATGTCTTTCTTCTTTGACATATTAGTATTTATCATTATATGACTTACTATTATAGCACACTTCGGCATATTTATATTATCATATGAATCATCTATGTCAAGGATTGATTTATGAGCCAAATATAGCTTACCACAAGTAAGAATCGTTTTACTGGGGCTGGAGACATGGCTCAGGAGTTAAGAGCATGGACTGTTCTTGCAGAAGACCAGAGTTTGGCTCCCAGTATCCACATCAGGGTGGCTTACAACTAATCGTAACTCCAACGTCAGGTAATTTAATGCCCTCTTCTGGCCTCTATCAGAACCTGCACTTAAATGTACTGTTTCCTCTCCAGACACACACATACACATAATTAAAAGTAAAATAAATCATGGGCTGGAGAGATGGCTCAGCAATTAAGAGTACTAGATGCACTTCCAAAGGACCCAGGTTCAATTCTCAGCACTCATATGGTGGTTCATAACTGTCTATAACTCCAGTCTCAGGGATCCGATGCCCTCTTCTGGCTTCAGTGGGCACCAGGCACACATATGGTGCACAGAAAAAAACACTTATACACATAAAACAAAATAAAAATAATTTTAAAAAAGAAATAAAATAGGGCTGGAGAGATGGCTCAGTGGTTTAGAGCAGTGATTGCTCTTCCAGAGGACCTGGGTTCAATTCCAAGCAATCATGTGGTTGCTCACAACTGTCTGTAACTCCAGTTCTGGGGGACCTGACACCCTCACACAGACATACATGCAGACAAAACACCAATGCAGATAAAATAAAAATAAATAAATTATCAAAAATATCACTGCTAGAGGGTTGGTTAAGAGCACTTGCTGCTCTGGCAGAGGACCTAAGTTCAGTTCCCAGCACCCACATGGAGGCTCACAACCACCTGTGGCTCCAGTTCCATAGGACTAACACCCTCTTCTAGTTTCCTTGGGTACCAGGCACACATACAATGCATATACATATATGCAGGGAAATATTTACACACATTAAGAAACAATTTATTTTTGTTGCTGTTGTTTTGTGGGTTTTTTTTTTTAAGAGGGTCTCTCTATTGTGTAGTTGTGGCTGTTCTGGAACTTGATATGTAGACCAGGCTAGCCTCAAACTCACAGAAATCTACCTGTCTCTGCCTCCCAAGTGCTGGGATTAAAGGTGTACATCACCATACCCAGCAAAAATAAATCATTTTTTTTGTTGTTGTTGTTATTGTTGGTTTTTTTAAAATTTTTTATTTATTTATTTAATTTTATTTTACAATACCATTCAGTTCTACATATCAGCCACGGTTCCCGTATTCTCCCCCCTCCCACACCCTCCCCTTACCCCGAGCCCACACCCCATTCCCACCTCCTCCAGGGCAAATCCTCCCCCAAGGACTGCGATCAACCTGATAGACTCAGTCCAGGCAGGTCCAGTCCCTTCCTCCCAGACTGAGCCAAGTGTCCCTGCATAAGCTCCAGGTTTCAAACAGCCAACTCATGCAATGAGCACAGGACTTGGTCCCACTGCCTAGTTGCCTCCCAAACTGATCAAGCCAATCAGCTGTCTCACCTATTCAGAGGGCCTGATCCAGCTGGGGGCCCCTCAGCCTTTGATTCATAGTTCATGTGTTTCCATTCATTTGGCTATTTTTTTTCAATAATTGAGTAAAACCGAAATTTATTATAAGCCACAGTCATCCTAGGGACCTCCATGCTATATATATATATATAGCCTCCATAGTTCTATGGGTTGTGGTCTGATTGTTCTTTATTTTATATCTAGAATCCACTTATGAGTGAGTACATACCATGACTGTCTTTCTGGGTTTGGGTTACCTCACTCAGGATGATTTTTTCTAGTTCCATCCATTTGCCTGCAAATTTCATGCTTTCATTGTTTTTCTCTGCTGAGTAGTACTCCATTGTGTATATGGACCACATTTTTTTCATCCATTCTTCCATTGATGGGCATCTAGGTTGTTTCCAGGTTCTGGCTATTACAAATAGTGCTGCTATGAACATAGCTGAGCATGTATCTTTATGGTATGAATCAGCATTCCTTGGGTATATGCCCAAGAGTGGGATGGCTGGGTCTTGAGGTAGTTCGATTCCTAATTTTCTGAGAAACCACCATACTGATTTCCACAGTGGTTGTACAAGTTTACATTCCCACCAACAGTGGAGGAGTGTTCCCTTTGCTACACATCCTCTCCAACATTGACTGTCATTGGTGTTTTTGATCGTAGCCATTCTGACAGGTGTAAGGTGGTATTTCAGAGTCGTTTTGATTTGCATTTCTCTGATGATTAAGGATGTTGAGCATTTCTTTAAATGTCTTTCAGCCATTTGTGATTCTTGTTTTGTGAATTCTCTGTTTAGCTCTTTAGCCCATTTTTTAATTGGACTGTTCAGTAAAAATAAATCTTTTTAAAAATGAAATAACTGAGCTGGGCGGTGGTGGTGCATGCCTTTAATCCCAGCACTTAGGAGGCAGTGGCAGTCTCAAAAAAAAAAAAAAAAAAAAAAGAAATAACTGAAAAAAAATCAGATCATTGTTTCCTATTATGTGATATAGTTAGCTTTTTTGGGAGTTTAGCTTTGTTTGTTTGTTTGTTTGTTTTTTGGTTTTTTTGAGACAGAGTTTCTCTGTATAGTTTTGGTGCCTGTCCTGGATCTCACTCTGTAGACCAGGCTGGCCTTGAACTCACAGAGATCCACCTGACTCTGCCTCCCAAGTGCTGGATCAAAGGCATGCACACCCCGCCCCCTCGGCCAAGAATGTTTTTAACACTAAAATTTATTTAGTGTATGTGTGAGTATATGCCATGTTGCCACGTGTGTGCGGTGTCTGTGGAGGCCAGAAGAGGGTTCCGGATACCCTGGAGCTGGAGTTACAGACAGCTGGGAGCTGTTACATATGGTTCTGGGAACTGTCCTCAGCTCCTCTGGAAGGTAAGCAAGTCAGCCATCTGCTGAGCCATCTTTCCAGCTCTTCCACTAAAACTTGAAGAAATTTTGTAGCTCATGAAATTTATATGAAATTCAAACTTCAATGGTCACAAATACATTTATGTCAGCCACAGCCAAACCTGGTTGCTGACGTAATTGTTTGTGCCTGTATTCAAGCATAATAGGAGCTGTCTCAGCAAAGAGGACATATGTCCCTTAAAGGCAAAACATTTATTAATTTGATTGTTACCTGGGACACTTGCTGACCCCTAGCCTAGAGGCTGAATTCTCATTAGAATATTTTCATAGCAGCTTAAGAATTGAGGTCTGCTTCACCTTTAGTGCTAGGCAACCCTTTTAGTGCTAATTAATTGTTCATTAGAAAGATTCCAGAGGAGTAGGCTGTATTGAGTAGGAGGAGCTAGCCTAGTTAGAACTTTAGTAACTGAGGTAACCAGATTCCTGTTAGAGACAGAATCAGAGGAACTCAGGTGGATCTTATTTCCAGGGGAAATGTGTAAGTACAGAAAGTCAAGATAGAGAAACAAAACAAAACAAAAACTATTTGAGGTCTTATTTGAACTTGGTTGTTGAGAAGAGACCAAACCACTGCAAGGTTGAGACAAGGGCAGTTAGAGTTTTAACAGGCCGTGACGGTATCAACCAAAGAATGTATCTGTGAAAGCTGAAAGTATCTAGGTTTGGCTGACTGAAACAGGAAGAGAATTTACAATGCCAACAAGTATCACAGGCATGAAAATGTAAAGAATTTCCTTGAAGGGATGGAAACCATATAGATTAAACAGAACTACATTAACTAAAGTTATCGGAAGGTTCATGCATTTACCTGTGCTCTGTTATTTTCTTCCTCCCTATTAATTCCCCCCCTAAAACAGGGGTTAGAGAGAGAGCACAAGGCTCAAGAGCATTTGCTCTTCTTCCACAGGACCAGAGTTCAGTTCCTCCGGATACCACTTGCTACTTCCCTCTCCTTCACCGCTTGCCTACTTCGTTTTCTGTCTTCTCATCCCCCGATGGTCTCCCCCTCCTTCCCGCTCTCTCTGTCTGTCTTACCCTAGTTTGGAAATGCAGCAGATTCCTGAGCCTGCCACCACTGGGTTCAAGGAGCTGTCAGTCTGCGGTAGGCAGAGTTTCTATTGGTTGGGCTGGAGGCGGGGACCCGAGCTCACTATAAAAGATGGGGCCGGTCAGGGCGCGCGGAGCTGCTGACAGGACCTGGTCAGAAGTGGTCCCCCGAGCAGAGCTTCAGCCCCAGCGCCCAGGGCAGCACGAAGCAGCGGCTCGAGGCACGCACTTTCTCCTCCGAGCCCGCTTAGGGCGCCCGCCCCGGAGCCCCCGCAACTCCCGGCCACGGTCCACGCATCCCCGGAGGACCCCTCGCCTCACCTGCGCTTGCCACGCCCCGTCCGGCCGCCGGGATGAGCGAGGTGAGCCGTGCCGCTCGCCCCCCCTTCTCCCGTGCTCTCGCTCCGGGCCAGGGCTGCGGCGGGGAGGAGGCTGCGGCTCCAGGTCCCCGGGAGGCGAGGTGTACTCTCTGGGTGGACGCCACTGCCCCTCTAGAATAGCCTCCGGCTCTCTGAAGCTACTGGAAAGGGGGTGTTTTTAGCCTGCCAACGGTAGATAGCGCTTTGGGGAGGGGGTGACTGGAATCAGCTGTAGGCAGGAACTGAGTTCTCGGGGGTGATAAGCTGTCTCTTGGGATGCTGGTCCTCCGCATCTATCTTGCTGCTCCGAGGTTACCATGGCTTTCCTTACTGCCCTCACTTAGGTTCTGCCCAGCCATCCCTAGCCTTGTCTTGTTCTCCATAGGCAGCAGCATCCCTGGCCACCTAACCCCCCGTTCAGGTGGCACTTTTCACTCATTCAGTGAGGAACGTTGCGGGTACCTGTCCTGCCTTCCGTGAGCACTGTGGTAGAAGCAAGTCCAAGCCCTGGGGAGATGGTCCCTTCCAGAGTAGACCTCCATCTTCAGTGCCTGTTACATGGAAGTCTTCGGACAGGTTCCCCGGTGTTCCCCGGAGCCAACCCAGTCCTTTAATTGGTTGACTCAGTTCAAAGAACACTGTCCATGGTAAGACTTTGAGAAGACATGTCCTATTGTGTGACTTAATTTGTGACACTCGGAGCACATCCTCATATTATGAGGCCAAGATCGTCGTTCTGAGATGATGTTGGTATGAACAGTAGCATCCCATGCTTTCCTTATGTGGCCCCTTTCCCAGTGAGCACGTCTTTGTGTTCAATCCGTTTCTCGGCATTCTGCCAGCCCCTTGTTCTGCTACTTACTAGCTCTGAGGCCTTAGGAGCATCGCGGAATTGGTCTGTGCTTCTGCTTTTTTTAATCTGGAAAACGAAGGTAATACTGATTGTTCTAAAAGACTAAATTATATGTGCAAAGTACTCTAAACACTACCTGGGTCTGAGTAGACATTCAATCTAGAGTCTGGGTTAGCTAGTGTGTGTGTGTGTGTGTGTGTGTGTGTGTGTGTGTGTGTGTGTGTGTGTGTGTGTGTTTCAAGTTAGTCGGTTACAGAAAACCAGCATAAGAATTTCCAAGGATCTCTTAGTGATGGAGCATTGGCCTCGCTTGAGTGAAGTTCTGGATTCAATCTCAAATACTGAGAGGAGAGAGAGAGGAGAGAGAAAAAGAGGCGGGGCAAAGAGAGAGATGTAGAAAGAGAGATGGGGAAGAGAGAGAGGCAGAGACACACACACACAGACACACACAGAGAGAAAGAGCCAGAGACAGAGACACACAGAGAGAGAGACAGAGAGAGAATTCCCTGGAGCCTGGCTCCCAGTTTAGATAGGAAAGATGGATATTTTCAGTAGTTCTGCTGACTCCTACCAAAAGTTATCACCTAGGGAGTCAATTAGTGCCAGCTGCTGTGTTTGTCCTGGTTGCCATGTCCACTGAGTTTATCCTGGAAAAGCCGGCGAGTCTGGTGGGCTGCAGAGGAAAGAAAGGAGCTTCCAGTACCTCAGCTGGTCGTGCCTGTGACCATGGCAATCTCGCAGAAAGAAAATAATAATAAAAACCAGAGGAGTGACTTTCTCTGTCATTTTTAGCTCTAACACGAGAAGAGAGGCTCTCTTTGCTCTCCCCCAACCAAGGTCTCAGGTTCAAACCACTCCCCCCCCCCCCCCCCCACCATCGTGCTTCTAAATCTGACAATTTTAATCCAAGCCATCTCCCCTGGGAGTTTATCTGAAGGCTGTGCTGACATGATCTGTGGTTACTTTGTGCACATGGCCTCTGGGTAGGACAGTCAGTCAGAGGGCTTTGAAAGTGATATTTAGTGGAGTGATAATGCTGTTCGCACGGTAAGGAGAACAATCTGGTGTGTGCTTGGGGGACGTCAAATCGTGGGGCCACTCTAGACAGCAGCTGAATCTGACTAGCCTTAATTAGGGGCTCTGCAGAGTGAGAGTGGGATCCTTCAGGGGGGACTCTATGGGTAAGGCTGCCTGGCCTCCTAAGCTGTCAGAGAAAACTGGTTCTAGCTAGTAATTTAGCCATCCAAGCTGCCTCCTGATACAGAGCGGAGCCTTGCTTCAGGAACGATTATTTATAATATCCAGAGGCAGCCACCTGGGTGTACACAGAGACCAGCTGTTTCTAAACCACAGCCCCAAGGGGGGATCTCTTGTTTCCCCGAAGGCTAAGAACCAGTCTGTTTTCTTCCTCTTGTAAAAAACTATGATAAAAGCGGAAGTGTTGCCCAGAGTGCTGGAGCTCTAGGGAGACTTCAGATGGCTTCACTTCTCTCAGCCCGACCCGGTGGATCACTTCTTTCAAGTTGATGTGCCCAGGCCAGGAAAGCCCTGTGCCCGGAATCTTATGTAAGTTTCACCTTCTCCACCTGCTTATGTCCTGGCTTTGGAGCCACTGCACGGAATGAGAAGATTTGGGATGTCTTGAAGAGATTCACATTTCCACCTAGCAACGGGTAGAGGCGGGGGCCTCCTGGGCAGGGCAACTGAAAGTGTAGGGGTTCTCGTGGGGCTGCGGAGCAGGACTGCTAGCTCTCTTTTCCCTCGGTGGCTCCTCGCTGTCACTCAGTACTGCAGCAGAGCATCTCCCCGTGTCTACATGCTCCTGTGCAGAGGAGCTGCGTGCGGGGACTCGTCGCCAGCTTGTCTGTGTTCACAGCTGGAGGCAGGACTTGATTGCTGTGGAGCAGTCTGTCTCCTGGAGTCTAATAACTTTCCCCTCATTCCTGTGAAGCTTGGATGGAGGAAACACATTCTGTCCCCAGGGCTCTTCCCTATAATCCCCTTTCATGCAGTCCAGCTGGCTGCATAAAGCAGACCTGCAGAGAGGCTTTGCATGTTGCATTTCTCATCTGTGAGAAACTGAACTGGAAGAATCCTTCGGTCCAGCAGTCACTCTGCTGAAATGGGAGTCACGGATTACTGGTGACAGTCCTCACAGTTCCTCTCCTGAGTTTTAGCTGTCAGGGGACAGAACAAGGGGCAGATCATCTAGATCATTAGGCAAGAACTTAAAACTGCTCCTCTCTCCTTCATTGTTCTTTTGAGGTGTTCTTACCTAATGGAAACAGATATTTCTCTTTTGGGATTGCTTCCCATCCCACCCCCCGGCCGTACATCTGTCTTTGTCTGCAGCCTTCCTTCCCCACAGAGGACATTCATTCAGAGTGACAGAGTTCTATTAATTCTTCTATGAACCCGTTGTTAGGGAACTTGCCATTCAAGTTTCTCTCTCTCCCCCTCCTCATTAATGGTTTATTATTATCATGGTTAAGTGGGACATACAACATAGGACTGACTACTTATTACTGGAACGTCTTCTATCTCTGGAAATCTGCATTTCAAAACAGGGAAACCAGAATTTGGTTCCCAACTTTGTTCATCCTTTTTTTTTTTTTTTTTTTTTTTCTCACCCATTTAGGTTGTTGGCTTTAGCTGCTTGAATAAGAATTTCTGGTTTGTAAGAAGTTGATGGTTTTGTCATCTTGTGATGGGGGGAGGGGTGTAAAGATGACTCATTCTTCCAAATAGCAGCCACAATCAGTAATCTCACGGAATGTCAAGTTTCTGTGGGGAAGGTGACCACAGGGAGTGTGGTGGGTGAGTCTGATGCACCTTTCCTGCCTGTTTGTGGAGGGGAACGACTAGTGGACAGGATTGTAATCCTGCTTAAAGGGAAGAAGAAAAACCAACAGCTTTCATTTCAAAGTGTTGATTCTGTGAATGCTTACCGCTTTTTTATGTTCTACTTCTCTAAATTTCCAAGCTATTTTTTCATAAATCTGGTTCATCATAGAAAAAATAAAGTTTGTTTTGCAAAAATTCTTCACGGTATAAAGTCGGGTATAGCTTTTACCAGGATAACACCAACGTGAACTATCAAGACATTTTAGTGATAGAGTTTTATATTTGCTGGCGAGCTCTAAAGATCATCTGGTCCAATCTGATTTTACAGATGAAGAACCTGAGCCCCACATCTTATCTGAGTTTGTATAGTACTAAAAGACTAAGGCACAGTACTGCTGCTGTCTGTCCAGATGGATTCTCTTCAGGACTCTTTGAACTTGTCACTCTATTGAATACAGAGGAATCTCACTCACAGGCAGATTTTTTTTTTTTTTTTTAATTATAGTACTGGAGATTGAGCCCAGAGCAAATACTTTATTATTAAGCCATCTTTTCCCTTTGAGTTTTTATTTGTAATTAATTAATTTATTTGTGGAGACATATACTTGTACCTTGACCTCCTTGTGTTACAACCTTTACCTTCCAAATGGTAAGATTACAGGCGTTCACCACTATCCCTGGCTCTTTTAAATGTTATTTTGAGACAGGTTCAGATTAAGTTGCCCATACTTGCCTTGGACTTGCAATTCTCCTACTTTTATTACCCCCTTCCCTCGGTGTCTGATGCAGGATCCCACTACGTAGCTCAGGCTGGTCTGGAACTTTCTATCCCCTTTGACTCCCAAATATTGAGATGGCAGATATGTGTCAATATGCCCATCTGTAGCGTTTTCTCTCCCTGAGACAAGGTCTACTATAGCCCAGGCTGGCCTCAAATTCACTGTGTGAGCAAGGATGACCTTGAACTTCTGATCCTCCTGCCTCTACCTCACTAGTACTGGAATTATAAGGATGTACCACTATGCCAGTTGGTTTTTTTTGTTGTTGTTGTTTTGTTTTGTTTTGTTTTTGAGACAGGGTTTCTCTATATAGTTTTGGTGCCTGTCCTGGATCTCACTTTGTAGACCAGGCTGACCTTGAACTCACAGAGGTCCTCCTGCCTCTGCCTCCCAAGTGCTACGATCAAAGGTGTGCATTACCACCGCCAGGCTTAATTTCTTCTTTCTCTCTTTTTTCACTGTTCTATTGCAATTTTTATAAGAGAAAAACATTTAATTGAGGTCTCACAGTTTCAGAGGTTTAGTCC